AACCAGGGAGTCTAATTAAACCCTTAAAATAATATTTATTTATTATTTTACTCATTGAATTTAATTCTTTCTAACCCATAAAGATGAGTTCTTTTAGTGATTTATAGAAAAGGGGTGTTGAAAAGTAACAATTGGGGGCGAAAAGTAAAAAGACAACGTTAAGCCCAATAATGCATAAAGAAGGCTGAGCTACCAAAGCCCAATCGGTTATCATGTTATGCTATTTGATTAGAAAAGCTTGAAATACGTATTTCCATATCAAATCCAAGATTGTCTTACGCTCAAAGTAAATCAAATCTTAACATTTTTGAATATGTACTAAATCCTGAAGAAATCATAAATCTAATCGATTAGAGCCGCTAGACCATCAATTAGGATAGTAAAAAAAGGAAGGATTTTGATTTTATTTGCAATCATTACAATCTGAACTTAATACTTGCCTGGAATAAACTCTTAAATCCTTAGATAACACGCTATAAACAGGTAAACCTATCTTCACTTATCTTGCATCTCATATTTTCTCTGTATCTATTTTGTGAGTTATTCTCTCATCATAAGTTTTGACCATGGCCTCTTCTAGTCAAAAATCCAGAAACACAATCAGAAGCAATAACTTCACTGTAAAACTAATAAACCAAAAACAATAAGAGAAAATAACAATCCTATCCAAAAAGGTTATTCAACCCCGGTACCTTGATTCCAGCCTTCTGAAAATCCACAAGCCCTATCACCAAATCTGCAAGACTCTCTCAAAGATATCTTCACAAAGATACCAAATAAAATCTACCCAAACCTATTAAAATAATTCCACCTTAACCTAAGACTTGTAGAATCCACTCTAAGAACATATGTAAAAGGCATAGAGATAACCATTCATATATACCATTTTGGGATATATTTTTTATCTAACTCAAAGGGATTTTAATCACTCCAAATATATATATATATATATATATATATATATATATATATATATATATATATATATATATATATATATATATATATATATATATATATATATATATATATATATATATATCGTGTTTCTTTTACCACTTTTCCAGAGAGATGTATTATCATTATAAAAAAGGAGGATAATGTAGAACCTTGTTTTGTAGGTAATACGTTCCAAACAAAACATATGCTTTTGATGATGACAACTATGATAAGTCAAGCATGAACGATTAAGCGGTTAAAGATGCAAATCTAAGTATTATGGTTTGATGAACTTTACTATCCAATGAGGGAAAATTAAACGGAAATAATCTAAAGCCTCATATCAAGAGATCTACAGCAGTGTCAACATAAAGAAGAGTAACTGACAAAAGCTTGTAGAAAAGAAGTAATCTCCTAATTTAGTAAGTGAGTGAACATATGTAAAAAAAAGGGTTTTTTCATAAAAGTACAAGGCTAAAACACACACCCACACACACTAAAACTATTTTTCAAAATGATTTAGCAAAAGAAAATACTTTAAAAAAAATCTAGAAGTTGTATTAAATGAATTTGGAACAGTCAAAATAGCCATGGCAAAATTTTGAATTTTCTAATTGATTAGAACATAGGCTCAATCGATTAGAAATGCACAAACTTAAGTCCCAAACTAATTTTAATACACCTTGATTATGTGCAATGATTATATATCTTATCATTATGTTTGGCACGATAATCAATTGGAAATCAATACTTCATAAGGTTGTTGCCTTATCAACCACTAAAGCGGAATATATTTTTATTACTGAAGTTGTGAAAGAAGCATTATGGCTTGAAGATTTTGCTAAAGAGTTGAAACTTCAAGGTTGAACTATCACTGTTACATGTGACACCTAAAGTGCAATACATCTGTCAAAGAATTCAACCTATCATGAGTGAACCAAGTACATTGATATAAGACTGGAGAAGTTTAAGTGCTGAAGGTTTCAATTGAAGACAATGTTGCTGATATGATCACCAAGGCATTGTCAAGTTGCATATTTTTTTCACTATATGCAGTTGATAAAATTGCATGAATAAAGCTAGTTTGTTCCCTTGATGTTGTAGAGTTTCTTCCAAAGTGGAGATTTGTGAGATTTTGGATCGAACTCTAGTCTCGACAGTAACTTCTTGGTTCGATAGAGGTTAAACATGCAGTCGAAGTTTGTTCACACGCTGATGTCGAAATATGCTAGGATTATTAGCATATCGAAATAGACTTGTTTGTTTAGTCCAAATTATTTAAATTAGCTTAGTAGTCTATAAATAAATTAATTCTCTTAGATTGTTGCGAGAGGTTGATTGTTATTATTCACTTCTAATATTTGAACCCTTATTTAAGTAAATGAATAGAAAAATAGTTTAAATCAATTCTAATTTTCTTCTTCTTCCCCCTTCTCTTCCTTGCGTAAAATCTAATAGAGTTTATTGTGTTTGTTCAAAAAATTCAATTTTTCTCATAGTTTTAATTTGTTATTGACGACGGTCGTTTTAATCATTATTATTATAATAATTTTTTTGAAAAAAATAAAATACAAAGAAAATCTTATGCTTTTTAATTATTATTTTTAAAAAATAGATTTATTAATAAAAGTAAAAAATACTATTACTTTAAAGGTGATTTAACGTATTTAAAGTATATCATAAAAATTAGTAAAAAAAAATACCATAAAAATATAGCTAACGAATTGAATATCCATCCATAAATTTACTAAAATGAATTAAATTCAATCAATTATATAGTGGAGGAAAGGAATAATTTTTTCATTAGATGAATTGAATAAGAGAATAAAAAAATTTCATGAGTGTAAAATAATTTTAAACCATCAATACATTATCTTTTAACTTATTGAATATATAAGTTGTCCTTCAAAATATATTAAAATTTAACAGGCCTTGAGTGAATAAATTACCAAATCTAAAATTGATTAAATCACGAAGTAAATGATGGCATATCTAACAAAATTAATTGAAGTAGCTTTAAAAATTTGAGTCTTTTAAATGTAAAACAAACGTCTCGTGAATGCTTTTATATCTTTGACCTAACCACTCTTTGCACTAAGATAGTAGAATCTTGGGCTACCACATAATTAAATTAAATTTGATTAAATTTATTTACAATAAAATAAAATAAATAAAAAGAAAAAATAAATATTCCGAGAATTTCGGTTAAATTGGCGGGAAATCGGTGGGGAGCAGCTAGCGAGTTTTTTGGGATTTCCAATACTTTCTCAATTAAAGGGTCCCACAGAACATTCACTGCAAACAAACCGCGACCGTACGATCACATTCTAATCCAACGGTGTGAAAGCATTTAAGTTCCCGCCGATTGTACGGTACTTTAACCTTTGCCCCAAAAGAAACGTTTTTTCTTTCTTCATATTTCACTTTTCCCAACGTTATATTTATTTAATTAATTAACATAATAATTATCTTAATTTTAAAATTAAAATCACAATTACATATAAGAACTCATAACAACCTTTTTCTTTATTTCAATCTCTCTCTCTCTCTCTCTCTCTCTGCTTTTTCACGCCGCATCTGAAACCAAAAAAATGGTAAGAACAATTTATAGATTTGTTTGATTCTTGATGAAGATGTTTAGTTGAACTTATTCTGATTATTTTAAGTAATCTTTTCTGTAAATGTTGATTGTTCTATGCTAATAATTTGCAATCTGCATGTGAAGATTTAGTTGATTTTTCAATTCTACTTTGAATATCTGAGTGAGATTGGGTTTAGGTTTTTGATGTTTGTTTCAAGTTTACTGTTTTCAGTTATTGATTGTTGAAATAATGAAATGAGTTTTTGTTTTTAGGGTTCTTGAATTGATATTTTGTGGATTTTGCAGGTGGGGAAGAATGATTCATCAAAGGAAAGGAATAGAGATTGGATTAGGGAACTTATGAATAGTAGCTCTGGTTATTGCGATGATCATCGTGATTTTCGATCTAATGAGAACAATACTTTCTGTGTAGATTGTGCTGTTAGAATGTGTAGGCACTGTAAGGAAGCTCATTCCATGCATACAATGTTTCAGATTTACAGATATTCCTATCAGGATGTTTTTCGACATTCCGACTTGCACAACCTTTTTGACTGCTCAAATATTCAGGTCCATTACTCAATCATTCTTTCATTTTCTCTCTCACATTAATCTGCTTAATTGCTTCTATATTGTGCTTGATTTGTGATAAACTCTAATGCTGCGAACCTGTTGAAATTACAATGACTAAATTTTCCATATGGGTTACATTATGAATGTTCTAATGTTGTTTGTCCATGAAATAAGTTATGTTTATTTTTCTTTTATATTATCATTGTTATTGAACATTGTTGAACTATACATTCTCACACTCGATCTAACTATTAGCGTAACACTTACTCTAGCTTAATTTTCATCTTACAATGGTTTCTATGATTTATCAGACTTACATATCCAATAATGAAAGGATTGTGCATCTAAAACCTCGGCCTCCAATCTATAAATCTAAACCTGGTGATCAATGCCCTGAATCTAAATCTAAATCAAAAGAAAGCAACTTATCAGCAAGATTTAAATTGGGAGGTACTACATGCGAAGAATGTGGAAAACACTTGCAAGACGAGCGCAGTCGCTGGTGCTCAATTATATGCAAGGTAAACAAACATGCTCTAAAAAGTATTGGTAAATTTGCTGTTTCCTATTACATCGCTTCAACTCAAATCATGTGTTGTTGATAGATCTCAGCATTTTAACTCAAATCATGTGTTGTTGATAGATCTCAGCGCTTCCACTGGAGCCTCAAAACCAAGGTCCTAATCATCACACAAAAAAAAGTTTAGTTTTCAACCAAAGTGGTAGATGCACCATCACTCAAAAAATTGAAGCAATTGACTTCACGATGAGTGATAACCTTAATTCGGAACCGGAGTCATCTATTTCTGAAGCCGAGCCATGTGGGCGGGTTGAAGTTGTGAATTTCAGGAAGCGCCCCAGAAAAACCCCTCCTCAAAGGCCTCACTTTGTTTTCATTTCTTAGTGTATGTTTGGAAATCACACTGATTTTCAAGGCGTCACATTGCGGCATCATGAAGCTAGCACAGATAGCTTCCCGGTTTTCACACCAGAGAAAAACCACTCCTTAGAGGCCTCTCTTTGTTTTCATTTCTCAGTGTATGTTTGGAAATTGCATGGCAGTTTTCACAGCATCTCCATGCGGCAACATGAAGCTAGCACAGATAGCTTTCTGGAAAGTAATCTTCCTACTCACTGTCCCACATTACTACTCTACTGTTTCCTTTATTTCTTTTCCTTTGAGATTTTGTTTCCAAGTTATCATTTTTGGACAATAAGATAATATATCTTGAACAATTAAGAGAACCTCAACTCCATTATACCCCATATTGGGATTTTAAGTATAAATTGAGGAGTTTGAGGTACTTTTGCTATGAGGAAAGTAACTAGTTGAGCTTGTACAGCCTAAAACATTTATATAGTACTGCTATTGAAACACTCTTTTCATTTAATTTCATCACTACGGATTGAATTTGTCTCACTAAAACTTGTGACTACATGCACTCTAATACTCTGCCATCAATCTTAAATTCTTCATGTTAGAACTTTCATGGTCACATGGATCTATAAGTATGGGTGCCAGATACGGTAGTTTGAAAAAAATCTAAGTATATCATGTTTTTTTGTAGTATATACTATATTATTAGATGTTAAATTGTTTAAAAGTTTGAAAAGTCAAAGTTTGTCTCGTTAGATTAACACAGAAATTCAAGTTCACAATAATATATGAGAAAAGTAGTGATGTTCTGACGTGGTAAATTAATTTTATACTATTAACCAACCATAATTTTCTATTAGAATAAATTATATTTTAATTTTAAAATTCTTTTAATGACAAGATAGTTTGTTGGCTTTCTATTGAATGATATTTTACATTGTTGGTGGATATAAATTAAACCCATAATATATTATATAAATAAAGCTAAAAAAAAGCAAGCTTTTATAAAAAAGTGTATTTAATGCATTAAAAATTAATAGTCAATTTTAAAAAGAATGTTATTTTTATTTGGAAATTTAAAGTGTACTTGTTAGCATGACTTTGACAAATTAATATTTTTATTTGCAATAAATAAAAATAAAGTATCTCAAATACCATATTGGTCGAATTTGATCAGAAGGGATTGTTAAAGTCCACGAGTTTTAAGTCGAGCAACTCTTGGATGTGAAGTGAGGGGTATCTGCAAGATACTCTGATGTCAAAGTGAGATTCAGAGCTAATGCAAGTATGAGAGTATGAGTAAGTGAATGAACATCTGACCCTCTCAAGTGAGAGGATATTTATAGCTCTCAGTGTTGGACCAAGATCCCCATTGTCAGACTGAGCAAGCAGGTCCAAGAATGGAAACTGTCAGGTCCTACGTGCGTAGTGGGGGTCAGCACGTGGTCCGCAACCTGAATGGATTCCTCTTAATTATCAGGAGAATATGGATGCGGTCTTTTTTGGGTTAAGAGGACTCCGTGATATTATGGGGTGTTGAGTGTCAGCCCTACGAAGAGGATGCTCAGAGGATTTGTCTTGGTCGACGAGAAGTGTGGACCCTGTCAGTGAGGAACTTTAGAGCATGATTGGTTCTGCTCGTCATTCATGGGTTATCCCCATAGGCCAAAACCAAGTCAACCAGAAGAGTGGAGTTGCTGCCCGACATGGTCGAGGGCAAACTCTTCCTGTTGGCTTTCTCATGTAACATAGTTGGATTGAACCTTGTATGATGTTTGGGTCAAGTGCAAGCCCACTCTAGAACAGGAGCTCCCAAGTCGTTGCTCCTGACGAAAAATGAGTTATGACTTAAAACCAACTTCTCCGTATGGCGAGCACAACTTAGACCTGGTCTTTCATCGCGTCAAAGGATGAGTCGTTTTTATGCGTGGCCATTCGAGCAGAGATTGGAACTTGCTTCACGAAGAATATTTTAGTTGCTCCTTGACTCGTGGGGAGATGGAGTTCAGAGTATGTCTACCTCGTAAGCTATGTGGTATAGCTTTCGGTCGCGACTATTTGAATAGATACTGACTTCGCGCACGGAGAAAGATCATCTACTTCTCGATGGACGGGGAGACAAAAGTTCGCAGGATGTAGTCACATGGTGTGGCCTTTGGGATAGAATGATGACCTAGGGAGTAGGGATCATTATGACCCTGTGCGCGTAGGCGGCGAGGAGAAGGGAAGTTGGCGTGCTGTTCGACGCCATGCTTCGTATTTCGTGTCAGTTATATAAATAATGCCTTAGGGCTCATTTACAACATTTCCAACTCCCGCTCTATTCTTTCTCCCTATCGTCTTTTGTTTTTCGTCGTCTTCTATCTTCTTCTCCAACCGCAAGCGTCGTCGCAGACTTCTCACAGACATTAATCAAGTTATTTCCAGTAATTACTGTCATTTACGCTTGGCTTTTTTGATAATCTTGGACGCGATTCGCGATCCGGAGGAATTTTGTTCGGGATATTTATACGTATCTTCTTGATATTCACGAAATGGCCTGAGAAATTTACTTGTTCCTCGCGGAACTCATGAAAATGTTCGGGGAATTCATCCCATTCCTCGCGTGACTTGTGAAACTGTTCGGGGAATTCATCTTGTCCTCATGGATCTCGTGAAACTACTCGGGGAATTCATCTTATCCCCGCGAAACTCGTGAAACTGCTCGGGAAATTCATCTTATCCCCACGGAACTCGTGAAATGCTCGGGGAGTTCATTTTATCCTCGTTGCCTTCATGAGGCTGCTCGTGGGGTGTATATTCTCTTTGCAGTGTTTCATTTCTCGAGTATATTTTCTTTTTAGTGAACGAGGATTCGTCGACCTGATTTGGTTGCAACATCCCCCTTTCACTTGTGTTGCGGTGTGTAATACGGTGGAGGAATTGACTTGGGATGTTTTACGCTTGATTGTAATTGTCGCGGCTAGCAAGAGTCGCCACCAACTTTTCTTTTATCCGATAAAGGAAAGAGTGAAAAGAACAGGAAAGACCTTTGAGATTATTTTCTTGAGTTCGGGTGGTAGATTATGAAAAGGGAAGGTGTTAGCACCATTTTCATCCATAGTTATCTATGGGCTCTTAGTTGCTTGCTAGATCACTTGCTTTGTTTGAAAATGTGCTTTGTAGTGGTTTTTTTAAAGTATTTTTGAAAAGGCGCCTTCGTTTAGGCAAACTTTATAATGATTCTCGTTTCGGTGAGAATGTATACAAAGTGTTGGACTTTTGAAAATATTTCATGTTTTTTGAAAGTGTTTGGTGTGTTTGTTTCGAAAGTGAGCAAGCAACTAAGAACGTTTCTACCCACTCAAAAGTCTTTTGTTCGTTTCTCCTTTCCTTTGATATTTCTATCTTACCATTAATTGATAAGAAGTCTTATCTTTGGATGTAAAGGGACGGGTGTGAGTCATCGTATAACCATGATAGCAATGTTGTAAGATGTCTTAGCGTTTCTCTTTGAGGGACTAAGATAACTTGAAAGGCAATGTTTGTAGCGTCATCGAGGGACTATGATCTTGTATTTTTTATTGTTTTGCTAAGACATCTTACATGCATAACATGACTATTTTGTAAGGCAACAAGTGGAATTACCCTAAGGATGCATGTGTGAATAGTGTGTTTGATTTGCATGCATTTTAGTCTTTGATTAATGGTTGTCTACTTGTTGATTTTATCTTCACATACAAATACTACTTTACTAGCATTTATATGAAAGCGATAAATTGCAGAAAGTAAATATTCTACGCTATTACAATCATTAGGGGGATGGGGTGTATAAATTTACAAATGAGGATTGCAAGAAATTAAAGTCCTAATTATCTATTACAACCGTATTGAAATAATGTACAAGAAATGTAAAATGGACTTGTTTTGTTTTTGTTAAGAGAAAAAATAAATTTGCTTAAGAAAATATTTTTAGTCTTTTTTGTTTCAAAAGAAATAAAATAAAGTATGTGAATATAAAAATATTTTTGGTATTTTTTGACTAATGAAAATAGAAGCGATATTAAAAATAATAAGGGAAAAGAATCAGAATCAACGTATTGCTGAAGTAAGTGAGAACAAAAGTTCTGACTCCAATGCACTGCAAGTCAGAAGGAGAATGTTAGCAGAAAAGGGGAAGATCAGAAGTTCTGGATCTGGGTACACTAAAATTCTGAGGTTGCTGGGAACATGGGAAATCCTAGAAGTTCTAATGCAACTGACAGCCTAGAAGTTCTAATGTTACTAGAAGGTCAGAAGTTTTGGTTGCTGGGGGAGTTTGGAAGTTCTGATGTAGTTGGAAACCTAAAAGTTCTGATAATGAGTGTGTGAGGTGTCCATGTTGTTGGATGGGGATGTCTAGAAGTTCTGGTCTATGATCATTGTTTTGACAAACAACTAAAGGGGATTGACTTAGAAGTTCTTATCCATCTAATGGGGGTAAAAATATTAAGAAATGAACAGAAAAAAGGGTGTTTCTGGAGCTAGAACTCAGGACCCTTAACATTAATGTCTTATGCATGTATTCTCTACCACTGGGGTGGCCATACATCCAGTGTTAGAAGCAAAAACATAAACATATAACACAAAGTAAGTTCTGATGATGAGCTTCCTCTCCTTCTCCATGCCAGTCAGAGCATCTGCAACTTAGTCATTTCTCAACAAAACAGAAAATGCACACATAGCAGTTATGGCAGATTTCACCATGGTTTCAGAAACATAAAGCATCAGAACTATAAATCAGGAACAAACATGAATTTTGCTAATCCTAATTCTGAATCCTAACTTCATCAAGAAGTTATGAATTGAAATTCTCTCTACTTAGGCAAAAAGTACATGAAATCCATGAATATGTACAACATCAACGTCAGGATATCTACATTGTATTTTTGGACATGTAAGTCTATCAATGCCTAAGTAATGTGATGAGAGTTAGCAGGAACTTACTTTGTAGCTGAAAAATGTTCTGTGAACTAGAGTCTGGTTCTGACTGCTATGATATTCTGGTCAGTTTTCTCACGTGCTCAGAAGACTGGAACAATCTTTAACTTGCGCTATGAATGGCTGGAAAATTCTGGAACAACCAAGAAGCAAAGTTCTAATTTTTTGAAATGGAAGTTGGGGAAGATTGACTTGCAGTCTGTAAACAGAACTTGGAATGGCTTCTAAATATGTATCAGAAACTGTATGGATGATTTGGTTGAGGAAATGCACAAGGAAGATTAGAGCTTGGATGCAAAAAATAGAAACTTGCAGGTTTTGTGTTTATGTTTGCAGTTTCAAGTTCTTGGAAATTTCAGCAAAGTTTCAAGGCTTTTTTTCTCAAA